TTGGTACCTCATCTTGGTGACACTATGGATACGACCCACTTTGTAAAAGTTACAAATGACTCGATCTGAGTCGTTCATGTGGAGACATGCGAGTGAGGGTATCTTATATAATGAGTTTGTATAAGATCATACCACGAAATGATTAATTTTTAGTTGTAACACCGTTAACTAATTATATTAATATTTCACAGGATGACCATGTAACTTGATCTAAATCCTGAGTGAGTTATGAACTCCTGCCTATTGGGAACTGTCATTTGATTTGTATGGGTGAGAGTGGTTCGAGACGCCGATACTCAATATGCTTATCATTTTGAGGACGAGTCCGAGTGGAGAGCTGTGAACATAACTTAATTCACAAGATGGAATTCACTCATTCCCGACTTCAAGGTAAGTAGATGAGTGTTCCCTTAAGTGCTGACTCCAAGACTTGAACAAGGAACCCCACTCTCTCACTAGCCCAAGAGCGACTTCTGTTTAATAGTTAGACCATAAACAAGTTATTCATTAGAGAATCAGTGATACTTAAGGAGAAAGAGGTATCTCAGGTGTAAAACGATAATTTGACCCAGCTGAAGTTAAAAACACTCGTGAATGACTGATTTACTGTTAATGGTCAATATTTATATACACAAAATATTCTATATTGTGAAGAGTGCAGTTATGGGTCTTTAGTGGAGTGACCCACAGTTAATGAATGTTGATTAATTTAATTAATTAATCTCGTATCACTGGAATTTCTAATTTGTAGGTCCATTAGGTCTCCTTGCTAGCTCACAACGGGTAAAACGAGGAATGTGTGTATCATATACATCATTTATATAATGTATATGTTGATACATTATATAATTAATTTTGAATAAGGATTTGAAATTAATATTATATTGTTATGAGAGAATTATTTGAATAATATTCAAATAAAATTTAATATGAGTTGAATTCATATTAAAACTATAGAATAAAGTTAATATTCATGAGATACACCTTAAAACTATAGGTTATGGATAAATATTTTAATTTAATTTAAATATATGTTATAATTCATTATTAGTTTTTTAAATAATTAATTATTCAATTAAATTAATCATTAATTGTTTAATTAATTAATCAATCCACTCTCGTGCATATTTGTAGGAGAGTGGGGGAGTGATGAGGTGGGTAACTTCCTCCCACCTCATCGTAAATTTGTAGAACAATTTTGGAATTATATCTGTTGGAAGAATTATCTCCCTCTCAAATTCACTTAAAAAGAAAATTCTCTATTTTAAAAGAGATTCTCGTCCAAAGGATAGTGAGGAGATCTTGTGGTGTGTTAATTGGTTTATCGTGAAGAACAGGTTCTTCAAAGGTAACACCATTTTTTCTTTGTTTTTTTCTTCTCTGTGTAATTTAATTCAAACGGTAAATTCGAGCAACGAGTTCACGCGCTTCCATTGGGGATTCAATCCCTTCAAATCCATAGTCCTTACTTTGGGTCGTCTATTCATAGACTTAATGGATTATTTATAAAGTTTTCATAGCTCAGTTTTTTAGTGGTTTGTCTTTGATATACTTGATGAAACAATGATGTGATCGTGAAGGTAGGGCCGCCTTCTAAACTTTCACGTGATCCAAGGTTCTATGTGCATGACCTTTAAAAACACCTGTTGTATATTGTAAAATTGAAATTAAGAATTAAAATATGTTGTGGGGGTCTCAAACTATAATTACTTAAAGTTCAAGAGGTAACTCACTTTCATTACTTAGGTTGTTGCTTCACTTCTATACATTAATTCAAATCGTAAAATATTAATGCTTAAGTTTATCCTTCTTTTGCTCATAATTTTTTTTTCTCTTTTTGTCATTCGTGGGGGGATTGTTGGGAATGTCAAAAGAGAAAGGTGTTTTACAAAAATTAAAAAGACTCACATGGAAAGATTTTGATGTTGAAAGAGGATTTATAATGGAAAGTTTTTTAGTAGAGTTAGAAATGATGTATTGGGTGAGCCCAAGACATCTCATCACACGTGTGCCGCCGCCATCCATCCGGTTGGGTGGGTTCGGGTAACTCGCACTTACACGAAAAATGAAAAATAAGTTTTGCTATAAATTATTTTTTTATTTTTGGTATTAATAAATAATTACCGTGTGTATTTATTTTAAAAACGATTTTTATTTTTTGAAGCGTTTTCCAACGAATCGTTTTTCTTTGATTTCAAAACATTTTTATTTAATTGTAAAACCGTTTTTATTAATTGTGTAAAAATGTTTTTATTTAATGTTGAGAAAACGTTTTTATTTTGAAATCCTATAGATACCCATGTTGATTTCATTTGGAGGATACACACAAAATCTTCTCCTACTCTTCTTTTGGTTTCTTCTCTCTGCTTTCTAAAAGTTTTCTTCTGAGTTGATTCCAATCCGTTTTCCGACGAGTGTACGCTTGAATTCGGGTGTTGTGTTAACCTTGGGAAGCAACTGGCGACTAACGATTTAGCACCGCGCTCGTACCAAATTTTACTTTCAAGGTAGTGAGTTCCATGACACAACAACATATTTTCTAGATCGTGTTCTTCTTCATTTTTGTTGTTACAATAGCTAGAGGGTCGAGTGCAAGTACACATTGTCAAGAATAGATCCTTCCTCAGTGTAGGAAATATTTTTTCAAACTATCCCATTTTATATGAAAAATAATTTTTCTGACAATCCTAACTAGCTAGTAATGAGAAGAACAGTATTTTGATCTTCGATTTTCGGTTTTCACTTCGATTAACTTTAAAACATTAGGAAAATAAAGTTAGTTTTTAAAAATTATTTTTTCTAATCCTTACCAATCGAGAGAAGTTTTGAAAGATAAAATTTAAATCATCTTGAACCCTTTTGTCTTAGTTTGAAAAATTAATAAAAAATTATATTTTTTCAAATTAAAATTTCAAACCTTGAAATATGATTTGTGATAATCCAAACTTATTTTATTTAATTTGAGTGGATAGTGATAATCCAAAATTTTTTTAATTTAATTTGAATGGATAATCTAAACAATAAGTAAGGGCATAATATGCGATCTAAATTATGTTTATTGTTATGAGATTCAATGAGTAGATATTTCATTATTCAAAAAAAAAAAGTGAATACATGTTTCACATACTTGTTTTTTAATACCGTTTTCTGATTTTGTGATCTAAATAGTGGAAATTTTGAAAACAAAATTTTTATGTTTGTAGTGTTTTCAAATTCTGAATTTGAAACTTTAATACTGCGTTTGGCATTTGGAATTTGACAGAAATGATTTCAAATTCCAGGATTTCAAAAGATGGAAAAATGATTTCGAATTCTTAATTGTGTTTGGAACCAAATTAATTTGAAATCATTGAAATTAAAATTTATTGTTTGGATGTTTACGAGAAATGAAAAGAAAGTATAACATTTTACTTGTATGCCCTTACCATTTTGCATGATATTGTATAAATAAATAATAATAGTATAATGTTATAATATGAAGTAGTAATTTCAACTACATATAAAAATAAAATCATTTAATGCAATTAATTTAATAATTTAAAACTTGCCAATGAAATTAAAAAACAAAAAAACTAATAAATTTCTTTCTTGAAATATATATTTTGTGAATTATTTTAAATCTAAACCAAAATAATCAACACGTTTGCTATAACTAAACAAACTTAAACCACAATCCAACTTTTTCTCATCTTTTTTCATTTATTTTCCTTTTTATTTTCATTCTCCTTTTTTTTTTCAAAATAATACTTTCACTAATAAACATGCTAAAAAAGAGCAAAAAATAGTTTTTAAAAAAGTAACGAGAGATTTTAAATGTATGAAACTACCAATCTATTTGCAAATTTATTTGGAACTGATTTTTTTTACCCAAATTAGTGATAAAAATTGAAATAAAACATAAGCAAAACATAAAATTAATTTATATTTTGACTGAAAAGTAATCTATAAAAATGTACGTAGGGAGGCAAAAGAGAAAATAGTATGCAATTTGTCTAAAAAAATAAGTGGAGTGATTAATTTTTTTTAAAAAAAATGAAAAATCTAGTTTTTACCTATTTTATAGGATAAATTTGGAATTTGATACTTTTAATTGCAAATCCTTTCAAATCCAACGTATTTGTAAGGAATTTTTTTTTAACGAAAGGTGATTTCAAATTCTATGATCTTAAATTCCTTCTTTTTCTTTGCTAACCAAAGAGAAATGATTTAAAAATCATTGTGATTTACAAATTCTTGAAAATTAGAGGTTCCAAATGCAGGATAAAGTACAAATTTACATAAAAAAAAGATAGACAAATATAAAAACTAACAAATGTAAAATATAATATATTATAAAATATTTAATATTGTAAAATAATTATACAAAATTTGTAAGATATAGATTAATAAATCAATTAATATTATTTTTAGATTTAACTAAATATTTAGTTAGTAAATGTTTTACAAATATATTACTAAATACTTTGAATCATTTTTTTAATTGATATTCAATTTCAAAATCTGCTACCAAAAACATATTTGATACTTAAAAACAACTTTGTTTAATCACTTGTTTTTATATTTCTATTTTTAGATCACCAACACCCCAACATTGCTTTTCTTTTAAGTTTTAGAGTTTCCTCTGACAAAATTATGATAATAAATATGAAGTTTCAAAGAACAAATCGAGAATTTTAAAGGTTTTTTGTTTTGCTAAAGTTTTGTTTTTTTTTTTACAATATTAGAACATTTTAACTAGAAAAATTATTATTATTATTATAATCTTGGTTAAAATATTAGTTTGTTCCCTATAATTTCGCCTTTGATTTATTTTGGTCTATTTATTTTTAAAATGTTCATTTTTATCTGTATACTCTTTAACTTTAATTCATTTTAATCTTGGAGGTTGTTTATGGTATCTGTAATTTTAAAAAGTAACTATTTTCAGAACTTTCGTTTGGGTGTCCGAACCATTTTGACAAATATGAAATACCACATGGGACCTTTCCTTTCCAATTGTGGGGAACGGGGATCTCTATTTTTGTAGCACATTCTGGATTTCCCCATTTCGTTAAAAAACCGCAACGCAAGAAGAATATTGTCCAAAATCGAGGTTCCCAATTCCCCAAATCGAAGCACCAAACCAAGAATATTCACTCCGGATAAGGAGAAGGAAACCCATTAGCCTGCGTGACCCGATAAGCTCGATTCATCACCCAATTTTTGTGTTTTTTTTTTCTATCGTCGAATTTGACGGAGGAAGGAAGATTCTCTAGAGTTCGATTCCGGATAAGGAGAGGAAGGGGAGGGGAAAGATGGAGAGTAGCAGCGTCGGCATGGCTGATTCGGCGGTGACGGCGGTTCTGTTGACCGACGCAACCTCTTGGTGGCAAGGAATCAACGATTCTCCCGTTTGGCAGGACCGCATCTTCATCATCCTTGCTGCTCTCTATGGCATCGTCGCCGTCGTCGCTCTTGTATGTTCTCTCTCTCTCTCTTTTTTCTATATCCTTCTGTCTGTGTAGGTATTTTGTTGCCAATCTCTCTTTGGAATTGAATTTGGGGAATTTGGGGAATTTGGAATTTGGGTTTTCTCCTCAATTGAATAGTTAATCGTCGCGGCGTCTCTTCCTGATCGCTTTATTAGTTTCATTGTTGTTCTCTCTTGTATGCTCTTTCGACTTCTAACTTTCCTGGATTTGTATATGCTAATGGCTGATTTTTGTTCCTTTAGGAATTGTTTATTATTTCCTTTTCTGGTTTAGTTCGTAATTGTGCTAAATATGTACTCTCTGCCTCTTTGCTGGGAAAATGAGAGCACCCATCTGGGCTTTCCTTGCCTTTTTTAATATGCTTCTGATGTGCTATAGTTGGCCTTTTTTTTTTCTTCTTTAGAAGAACGCAAAACATGTAGCATACAGACTAACCGCTTTTTGAAAAAACAATGGATGGGATACTGAGTTTGATTGTACAAATAGTTGCTGGTTTTCTTAGAAGTTTGATATCAGGATGTTTATGCCTTGTTTTAGGTTCAACTAGTCCGTATACAATTGAGGGTGCCGGAGTATGGTTGGACCACGCAGAAGGTCTTCCATTTTCTCAATTTCTTGGTGAACGGAGGTTTATATCATCCGTTTTACTCTTTATCCACATACCTTTTCTTTAAATGTTGCGAATTATGCATCTCAAAAATAATTGCTGTGCATTATGTGAATCTCTGGGCTAAGTGAATAAATGTTTCTTACTGCAGTGCGGGCAGTCATTTTTGTATTCCGTCGTGATGTGCAGACGTTGGAACCGCCGGTGTGGATTGGTTCTTAATTCATTGTTCAACGTTTTTCTTTTTTTCATATCACACGTTTAATGCTCCACTTGTTTGTGTCTTGATTAGATTCTCCAACATATCTTGCTTGACATGCCAAGCCTTGCCTTCTTCACAACTTATGCTCTATTGGTTTTGTTTTGGGCAGAGATTTACTACCAGGTGGACAATTATTTTGAGTTTATAATGTTTGTTTGCAAATATGATAAATCTGTTTGCATACATCTCACGAGAAAATTTCTTCAGGCACGTGCTGTATCAACTGATGGGTTGAGGCCGACTTTCCTTACAATAAATGCAGTGGTCTATGTTATTCAGGTGAAACTCATTGCTGTATTACATATAGGTCGTCAAAATTGGAAGCTTCTTTATTTGTTTCTTTGTTTTTCTTTTCTAATGAATTGCTCAGAAAAAGAATTACTCTATGAGCAAGTTAATATACCATTCCAGGATCATTTAGTGGCTGAGTTTGTTTATCTCTTTTCTTCACATTATTTCTTGATCAGTTTCTATCCACTTGTCGCAAGGCTAAAATAAAAACCAAATGTCTTTTGCACTTGCATGTGTCATTAAGATCTTGTTGTAGTTATTCTCTAAACAAACAATTCAAGGAAGCACAAATTTCATTGGGTAGGATACCCTTTAGTAAAGCATGGGCACTTGGTTTGTGGCGGTCTATCTGTATTGGACACATGTCAGACACAAATAGGTCCAGGCACGTGTTTGACACATGAAAAAGTATCCTATTTTATTATTATTTTTAAATTTCGGGACAGGGTACATCAATAGGACACGAGGGACATGTCGCATGCACACATGTTGACCTGGAAAAATAATTATGAATATTAATCCTGCCCATTATTTTGCCCACTAAATTTAAATTTATTTTTAGATCAAAACATTCATACATTGGCTGTTAGACTTTTAATACCTACTACGTTGATCATATCATAGTTTTTTTTTTTATAAAAAAACAAGAAATAAACTTTTCATTGATAATATGAAGATTATCATAGTTAATAGTGAACCTGCTATGAAATTGATATTTTTTTTATAAGAAACCATGCTTTCATTGAGAAAAATGAAAAGAAGAACAAGAATAAGAATTGCCTAAAAAGACAGTCCTAAAAGAGGACGCCCCTAAAGAAAAGGGCTCTAATCCAAAAGAATAACACCTAGCTGATAATTATAAAAGACTTTAGAGACCGAGTCCCACAAAGAAGTATTATACCTAATAAGATCCCAAACAGAATCCATAGAATTCTCCACCCCCTAAACACTTTGTTGTTCCTCTCCAGCCAAATATCCCACCAAGTAGCCCCACACTCTGTCACGAAATTAATATTTGGCCTCATTGTGTTGACTTCTAAAATTTTGTTTGGATTGCTAGCAGATTGTTTTGTGGCTGATATTGTGGTGGAATCCTGTTCATGTTCTGGCCGTCCTTTCTAAGATGTTCTTTGCTGCTGTCTCTTTGTTCGCTGCCCTTGGGTTTCTTATTTATGGGGGAAGGTAATATTAGCATCTGCTTTGTTTTTTTTTTTTTTGTTTTTTTGAGTACATCTGCTTTGTTTTCTCATCTTGATGATTTATATATATTCAAATGCCAATGGTATGGAAAGGTAAGAACAAATTGTATGTATGTTAACAAACCCCATATATCACGAAGGAAGTTTGTGCAATCACATTGATTTGCCTTTTTAGGATTTTTTTAATGCTTGTAATATATACCTATACTTGTGAACATCATGCACTTTTAAACATGGCTTGTTTTTACTTAGTTCAAATCATGGTGGCCACCTACCTAGGATTTAATATCCTACGAGTTACCTAGACAACCAAATGTATTAGGGTCAGTGCTCGTAAGCTGGCTCGGATACTCACGGATATCAAAAGAAAAAAAAACAAATGTGGCTTGTGTTTCTTTAATTGAGGTGTAATTTTGTTAGCAGCTGCAATGTTTTGAAGGTATATGTGCTAGATATGATATTTAGCTTACTGAAGCTACATTACGTCCCGAGTAAAAATCCATTTGCCAGAAAATTTAATAAAGGTGAAACTATGAATTTCTCACTGGTCGAATGAAGTAGTAAGCTCTTCTAGTTGTCAAAAAATTCCAGTTCTTTGGAGTTGCTAGGTATTGGTCACTGAGGTTGGGGTCTTGAGATGGGACTGGTTGAGATGACCCAATAAATTTTGGGTGATATGCAAAAGAAAAGGCATATGAATGCCCAAAATTCTGAAAAGTTAATGAAGCCTTTCAGAAGTTTCTTTTGGGTGCGTGTGTGTTAGAGAGAGAGAGATATGAAGCTACTTTGATCAAATGAAAGAATACACCAAAGGCACATAGGGCGAAGGAACAAAGGAACAAGGGAATGGGAACCACAAAACAAAATGCTCCATCCCTACCATTAAAACTCTCATGTTCCTTTATAGTTTATAGTTAGATGTTCTAACTATTAAATATTTGCAAAAAGGGAAATTGCCAAAGGGCCCTTCCTCTACCATGGTAATTGAAGGTGAAGGACATTTTCCTCCATCGCACCATGACAAGATTGATTAAGGATGGTTGAGAGGGCACTCCAAAAGCCTAAAATTTCTCTACTAAATCCTCTCGGAAAGCAAACAACTCAAAATAATGTAATCTAGCCAGCAGGAGGATCTTGATCACATCCTGTGGAGATGTCCCAAAAGCATATGATCTTTTTTTGAGTGGACCTTACCGAAGACGTTTGCTCAGGATATTTGGGGTCGTTTCTTTGAGTTGTTTGGATTGTCCTGGGCTCGTAACAACTAACAAGGATTGTAGAGCATTGATGGAGGAGGTTTTGTTGTTTCCTCCCTTTCAGGAAGGGAAGGTTTCTATGTCAGACTTGTTTCTTTGCAATTTTGTGGGAGACTCGGGTTGAGAGACAATAGAATCTTTTGCAGTTGAGAGACTGAAGGAGTATGTCTGGTAGCTTATTAGATTTAGTTTTGTTTTTTTTTTTGATAAAAAACAACACTTTCATTGGGAGAAATGAAATAGATACAAGAAGAACAAAAAGGATACAAAATGGGCCTACAAAAAGACCGCCCTGAAAGCTGTGGGGGTTTGTTTCATTTAGTACAACACTATCATTTAGTACTTCTCTGTGGGGGGTTTGTTTCTAAGTTTTTATTTATTTTATTTTATTTGTGGGGGKTTGTTTCATTTAGTACAACACTTTCATTTAGTACTTCTCTGTGGGGGGTTTGTTTCTAAGTTTTTATTTATTTTATTTTATTTGTGGGGGGTTGTTTCATTTAGTACAACACTTTCATTTAGTACTTCTCTGTGGGGGGTTTGTTTCTAAGTTTTTATTTATTTTATTTTATTTATAATTATCAGTTATGTGTTATTCTGTGTTATTCTTTTGGATTGGAGACCCTTTCTTTAGGTGGGCTTCCTTCTGTCGCCTTGTATGATCTAGCTTCCCAAGCTTGAAAGAACACGCCATTGTGAATATAGCATTGAGGAGGAAAACTTTTGGATAAGCGTTATCAGTCACCAACAAAAGAATCTAACCTTCTATTATTGTAAAAGCACTTATGTTCTTTTGTAATGAGTTGTTCCAACCTCCAAATAGTAGCAAGAAAATGGGGTTTCTATAGGGTCCTTCCTTTACCATGGTAGGGAGGGTGAAGAGCAATTTCCTCCATCGCACCATGACAATTGTGATTATGGATAGTAGTTACAAGGCACTAGATAATGATAGTAGATAGAAGACACTCCAAAACCCTAAAATTTTTACCAAATTCACTCAAAAAAACGAAGCACTTCAAAGAGTGTGATCTAGCAAGCTTGCAAAGAACATACTGTTGCGAATAGAGCATTAAAGAACAAAACTTTTTAATAAAATTCATAGTATTGATTCAAGCGAGTGCCACTTGCCAAAAAAAGAATTTAATAGAGTTGAGACCTTAGAACATTTGGCATCTGGAGGCACTGGGCAGTAAGATAAATGAAAAATGATTTACAAATAAACAACTCAGTTGACTTAAAAGAGCCCCCACCTTATTTCCTTATGATTTGGGGAGGTACAAGTATCTAGATGATGGAAGCTAAGGAGATCAAATGCTTGCTAACTCTTACCCACTTGTTAGAAAGAGGTGCAACTTGATTGTCAAATAGAATCAATAGTTGTTGCCCAAGAGAAACAGGGTGTAGGCAGTGCAATGCTTGCAATCATCTTGTATCAAAGAGGTTAAATAAACTAGGGCATTGAGGGCCTCAGCCAATTGAATGGTCCTTCCAAAAGTGAATTAAGGGGTTGGTCCTATCTGACAAATTCAAACAAGAATTAAATTGAGGACTACACATCAAAATAGATTTCCGAGGATTCCTAAATGTGCTCATCCCCACTAAGTTTTATTTTGACCCATTTGGATGACTTGCATACCTACATTTGGATGACTCTTCTCAGGATTTAGACATCAGACATTGTCTCCCATCAATAAGGTGAAAATTTTCATCTTCCCCTTCTTCCCACGAAATTTCTCGTAAGTTCCTCTTTCCATACATGCACCAACTTTCTTGGAATTGGGGATAACGCATATATAGGGGTCATTCATGGATTCACAGAAGAATTTGTGTGAATAGTTTCACTTTCATTACTTGACCAAATAGTAGGTATTACCCATCAAGAAAGATGGAATCAAGTTAACGATGCTACTTGGGGTGAAAACTGATGCATTTTTTCCCTCTTCCCTTCTCTTGGGGTTGGAAACGATTCATTATCAAAGAAAGTTATTCAGGGAGGGGGGAGTACAAGAGAAGCATAAGAAATCCTAAATCCTTAAAGCCTAGAAGCTTTCAAAACCCTCCTCCAATTATCTTGAATCCAAAAGGGAGTCTCTATATAGTAAATACCATTTGGCAAGCAAAAAAAGAATATTTTCGCGAGCATCTAACTTACCTATCACAAAATGTCCTACTGTGTTCCTTTTTGTGACACACATGAAAGAGTAGCTAGATTGAAACTTGCCCAAATTAGATTTTCTTTCTGTTAGCAGAAATGTTGCTCCGAAGCCTCACAATGAAGTCCTTATGTTTAAGGACTGTGCCATGGGTAACAGCGCAGACCCTTCTTCCACAAAATTTTGGGAAATCATAATTATGACAAGTGATTTGGGTCCTATAACCTGGCTTACACTGCATGTCAATTTGAATGATTCATCCTCCAATTTCTTTTTCTTCACAGTAAGAGTATTAGTTTCAACAAGTAAAAGGGACCAAACAAAAAACTTGGTCGTTGTCTGCATCTTAAATTTTTAGATTCTCCTGAAACCATGTTGATATGGATTCCTTACTAATGCGAGCATTGACAATGAATTGCAAGAGAAAAATCCTGTCATCTCTAGCTTCTTAATTCTTCAGCTTTTTTGGTTACCAGGGAAAAGTCAATAGTGCTTGAAGGGAAATTCACATAAGGAAATTTTTGTTATTGACACCCCTTCTAAAATTTAAACACCAGCCTGGGAAATCAACATTGTACACCTGAAAGATAGTGTTGTGCTCGTTTTCTGGTGTCTGGTAAGGAATGGAGGATAGGGAAATTGTTGGGGGGTAAAACTAGAATTACAAAACCTTGACCTAATAGAATGATTTATGATATTTCAAAAATGGATTGTGTGCTTCATCTATGTAAATTTTGTTGGTTTTATGATTTTAAAATCAACGACCAAGTTTTTGATGGTATCACACTATCACTCTATCTCTTTGTGCACACCCCTTCTTTAGTATGCAATCCATCTCTTTCATCATGCTTTGCCTCTCGCTGTCAAACTTGGAAATTGTATTGAAAGACCAATAAGAAAATGTAGGAAGATACTACCAAGTAATTTGAGGTATTTGGACCTCTCCTCTTGAGTACCACTACAATATTGCCTACCTTCACACGGGTGTTCATGGTTTGGTTCGAGTGTCTGTAAGTTTTTAAAGTGGGTTGGGCATAAGTCTGAGCTCCACACCTCAACAGGTTGCACCAACCCAACTTGAAGAGGTCAAATCTTGCTCCAAACTTCTTATTAGCTTGCAGCTCAGAATGGATGGTTTTGACTCATACTGTTCCTTATTGAACGAGGATTGCATGAGAAAATATTTATACGATCACCGCGAAATACTTACAAAATATCCTTAGGAAATCGTCTCCCCACACATCTAATTCATTAGTTTCTGTGGACATGGAGCAGATTTTTGAAACAGATGGCCCTTTATATCCTATGTCTCGAATAATTGTGAACTAGTGGCTGGAACAGCTTGGGGCCTCATTCTTTTGCATGTCTGGTTGAGAATAAGAGCCACTTTTTTATTGGTTATTGTGACCCATTCTTCTCAATTTCTCTTCCTCTCAACTTTTAAGTGTTCTATTTATTTTTTTATTTTTATTTTTTATATTTTTTTTTAAGAAATGCAATTACAAAAAGAAGTGGAGAAAAATAAAACCCCTGAAACCAAAGGAGTTACATGAAACTTCTCCAATTGGTCAAAAAGTGTAACCATACTATATGAGTAAAAAGGTGATGATGCTTTACAGTTTACACCAAGTCATAGCAAGGAAAATGATATTGTCAAAGAGTCTATCGAAAGGTAGATTCTTTTTGGTGAAGAGTCGATGGTCCCTTTCATTCCAAAATATCCACAAAAAAAGCTCTAATGATGTGCTTCCACTAAACTTTCATACTTATTCAGTTTTAGTCTATACTTTCAAACTCTCAACTGGTAAGTGTTCTATTTATGTCACTAAACTTTGCATAAAAAATTATTTTAGCCATTGTTATTCTTTTTATTAGTCGTTCAACAAAAGTCAGATTCTGTGTGAAAACTCGACCTCTACTACTTTAAGAAATTGGAGTGCACAACACAAGTTTTTTCTGTAATTACTCTACTTTTGCTAGACTGGAGGTTTTTGTCTCTTTCTTGGTTGTTGCTTGAGTGAGTATTTCGGCCTTGTTTCTAATTAAAAAGAAGAAAGAGATTAACAAGGACTAAATTAGCTTTTTATGCAAAGTCCAAGGACTAAAATAGATCGTTAAAGTTTGGAGTTTAAGGCTCTAGAGACCAAAATAGGATTTTTTAAGTATCTCCTTACAAAATGCATGATATTCTAAGAGAACAAGCCCTAGGGCTTTACAAAAGTCTCACCAGCCAAACCAAGGGCTGTAACTCTCCTTACACCAAGTTTTCCCAAACTAAACAAAATCATACCCTGCCACAAAAGGAACCCAATATAAGTGAATTTTCCTGTTTACCCCTCATAGCATAAGTATTAACTATTTGGGGCCTCTCAGATTTCTTTTTTTTTCCTAGGAAAAATAATAATTAAGTGCATATGCTTCATCGTTGGAGATAGAGTTCAATGGAAGTACACAGTTTAACTTGCATCGTGAGGGCTTTTTTATTGTTGCCAAGGAATCTTAGGATAAGGCGCTTCCTTTTGAGTGGCTTTTTGATGCTATAGATTTTTTTGGCTATTACTTGGTATAAATGCTCCATTCTCTTTCGTTATTACAGCTTCTCTTTCCCTTCTCTTCTCTTCTATCTAATTTAACTCCGTTGGTTGGGTTATCTCCTTATTTTGTAATTTCTTACCATTAATGAAATTGTTTCTCATAAAAATAAGTTTAACTTGAATTTTCCCATAATTATATTGTAAGAAATATAAAATAAAGGAAAAGAATGAAAAATTCACCCCTAACCTATTGAGTTGTTACATTCAAAGTCTCAAACTTTCAATTTAAACAATTACCTCCCAAACTTACAAAGTTATTGCAATGTCATTTTAACTTATATGGTTTCAACTTCGAAAATGGGCCAACTACCCTCAAGCTATAAAGGTTTTTATAGTTAAATTCTAAACTCTAAACCATCTCTGAACTTTTGAAATTGTTGTACTTAAACCTAAGGACTAATGGAAGTAAAACATGGGGTTCAATTATAACATTTTAGAAATTTAGGGGTAGTTTCTCAAATTTAAAGTTTACGGTGCGATTGTATCAATCCTAGGTGTGATTTTTGTGGCTTTGCCTAAAACAAACAACAGAATACTACTCTTTTGTATAGAGGCAATGTGAAGGCGAAAGATTGAGGATTGTGATTTTATTTTTTAATTTTGAGGTGGGTGGGCCACAGTGGGGCTTGGCCATGAGGGGATGTTTAACATGTTTATTCGTTTTCGAATTTAGCTGACTGAGGGAGAGGAAGAACATGGATTCTTTTCTATGTACATTGAAAAATTCAATTTGAAGACTGACGCTTTCTAAATAGTACTCTATTGTGTAAACCATGATTGTAAATAGTAAAAGACTTGGAAGGAATGAGTTCAAACTATGGTGGCCACCTACATAGGATTTAATATCCTAAAAGTAACCAAATGTAGTAGGGCCCGATAGTTGTCCTATGAGAATAGTCGAGGTGTGCATAAAATGACCCGAACATTCACAGATATCAAAAGAAAAAGAAGATAGTACTCTTTTGTGTAGAATTGTTTAAAACATGTTGATAATTTAATCTTTAGTTATTGCCTTGGTTGGTTTTTGTCTTTCAGTAATGCTTTATAAGTGGCAGATTTGGAAATTTCCTCTGTTACATGTAATTTGCTAATGGTTTCTTTAATCATCTCTGGATAGATTGTTCTTGATGTTACAACGCTTCCCTGTGGAATCCAAAGGAAGACGTAAGAAGTTGCAAGAGGTACTTACATTCAGAGATTTGGATGTTACACACATCATTTTAGAAGTTTCAGTCGGTTGTTTAATTTCTCTGTAGATTTTTTCTCATTGTTACTTTTTTTGGGCGGGACAGGTCGGCTATGTGACAACTATATGTTTTTCATGTTTCCTCGTCAGATGCATCATGGTGAGTCTACTTTTATCAAATGTTGTTAGTGCAGTACCATCTGAGCGACTGTATATTTAACCCAGTGCTTAATGGAACCTTTCATTTTTCTTACTGTTTACTGTGATCATGTTATAACCATATTGTTCCAAATACATGTATTTGATTGCATTAGACATTTTCCTTGTAGATTTGATCATTTTTTCATCTTTACAATCGGCTTTTATAAGTCTCATCTCAAAGACGTGAGAAAGATTCAAATTTTAAAGGTATTTGTGACAAGTTTAAGATGTTGGGAAATTGTAATGGAGATGCTAACTATTAATAATTAGGTTTTGTTACTTGATGTGCATGAGAGTATGCATAGAAAGATACTTTAATGTATAAGATATGAAGATAATTAATTTGAAAGGCATTGTTGTATTAAAAGTTAGCAATATGTTGTACTGTACCAGTAACAGGGCAGGGTGTTTATAATATACATTGAATTCACTTTCACATCGGTCTTTAACCAATTAGTAAGGAAAGCCTTGACGCCTTCCTTCCTTTGAGGGTTGAGGATAAGCTAATGAAATAAAGGCTTGTTGTTGTAGCCATTAATACTGCATTATCTTAAAATGCTGTTATCTGCACATCACTGTAAAGTAGACAGCGTATTGTTTTGCTTTTCAGTTTCTTTATATTCCCATTCTGTAAACGTTTTAATCCCTGCCTATTCATTTTTCTTGTGCTCCAGATGTGCTTCAATGCTTTTGATCAAGCTGCAGACCTCGATCTTTTGAATCACCCGATTCTAAATTTTATATATTACCTGGTAAATTCGGGTTTCTGGTTTTTTTAATGCATTTTGTGTCTATAATATTTCACAGGTGGTTGTTTGTTTTACCCGAATCATTTTGGCAACTTTTGCGGCATTCTAATTAATATGATGAATTTCCTGCATTTAATTTGAGTATCATTATATTTTAGAAGAAGGATTTAGTTCGAGTATCGTCAGTATTATGGTTATGCTCCCTAGTACTACAATATTAATTCTGTTAAGTTAAATTGGTGTTAAGGTACCTTTTATTAAAGGTGAAGCCTACCCTTAAAAGTTTAGTTTGCTGCTGTGTGATGTGGGGTTTCATTTGCATTTTCTACCTTTTTTTTTTTTTGGCTCTGATAAATGTGCGATATTTTGTTTCGGAGGTTGGACATTTAACCCATTTTTTCCATCTCTGTAGTTGGTTGAGGTTTTACCTTCTTCTTTGGTCCTCTTCATTCTGAGGAAGCTACCCCCGAAACGAGGAATCACACAATACCACCCTATCCGCTGAAAGGGGCCGAGGAACAGCGAGAAGTCTGGCCGAGGTTCGATGTGTAATAACATGGCAGAACAGAGCTGAAAGTTGGGAATGAGGTGCATAAAGGGTACCTGATCTCTGTAGAAACATGCCAGAGGCATTTTGAGTTCTGTTGATTTGTTATTCAAAGGTTAGGGAATTTGTTTAAATAGAGAATTGAACTGCTACAGACTGAAATTATAGTGCGGATGCTATTGGTGTGCCTTGTGATTTATCTAACCTTACTCGCTGGATTTCTTGCTATTGCCTTTTTGGTTCACTAGCAAGAGAAACAGAGACATTTCTAAATGTTTCCCTGTGTATTTGTACCCACTAACTGCCTCTGCTTATGTATTTTGTTTAATTTATTTATTTTTTACAAAAGCCATTCGGGGCGGACCTAAGATTCCGGTCTTTGTTAATTGAACTGTTGCTTTGGTAATATTGAAAGTTTAGATTGACATCAGTTATTCATTTCCTCTTGTTTTGTTACAACTTGAACTTTGAAATCAATGAGATGGGAGGTCATTTTGATCATGACATTTTTATTCATCTTGAAGATTGAGATTACATTTTATCTTCATTTGATCCATTTCGACTATTGTGAAAGAAAAATCAAGATGAACTTGTGACTTTTTAATTGTTTCGATATGATTTTGCGCAAGAATTTTCTTGCTTGGGATGGCTATGCTTGTTATTCTCATCAATTGTGGAGGAGTAGACAATATTTATGAAACTTGTATTCTTTGTACCTGGATTCTAAGAATTTCTTCTTTTTTTATCGGCATACTCAATCTGCTAAGGCATCGCGAGTTCGAATCTTCATAAAAAAAAAAAAAAAATTAAGATTTTTTGTTCTCTCCCTCTCTTGGGCCAAACCACCTAAGCTATATTGCTTTGAAATCAAATAAGATGGAGCTAATTTGATCACAAGATTGTATATATTTTGAATATTGTGATTACATAGTTGATCTATTCACATTTCTACCTCTATAGGTTTTAGAAATATAAGCGGTGAATTGACATTTTTATTATATTGTAAAATAATTGATAAAATATAACAGATTGTGTTAATAATGAGAACTTTTAACTTATTTTAAAAAAGGTAAGTGTTTATTTATTTTTATAATTTTCCAGAATATTTATCTATACTGGTATTTTGCAAAATTGAGATTTTAATATTCATATAAACATTTAAAATTTGGTCGACATCTTCATTTAGTCCATTAAGATTATTGTGAAAGAAAGAGGAATATTTTATAGTTTGGATTTGATTTTATGCAATTTTCAAAATGCAATACTTTATTACTTAAACTAGTTCTTCTTTTACCATTGCAAAATAATAATAATAATAAAGATAGGAACCTTAACCACTTGAGTTAGGTTCGGTTTGACGAAAACAGTAGATGTCATTTACAATACTTTTGTCTGAGAGCGGCACTAACCACACCCACCTAAACTTTAAAATATATTATATTCTAAGTTAATAGTTCACTCCAAGTTATTTTTTATTTTTATTCTTTTGAGAGATGGTACAAGTTATTAAGTAAACTATTATCCAATAATATAACATATTTCAAAATTCAAAGAGTCCTATTTCTTTTTCTCTGTAGAACATGTAGGATGAGACGTTCAAACTCACGATTTTCTGGTCGAACATAGATGCATTAACCCATAACAGTGTAAGTTGTTCACAAAACAGTACCATTAAAATATTATTTAATATTCAAAATATATGCAACATGTACCCAAAATATATACTTCATATTAGTAACTTCAAATCATTCATGATAATGTAAGCTGTCCACAAAATAGATAACGTATGATTTAACATTACAATATATAACTAAAATATACTTCATATCTGTAACTCTAAATCATTTTAACACTGTATGTAGGGAGTCGTCAGAAATGATTGAGCGGCCGAAAATGCAGTGAGCCATCAAAAATATAGTGAGTCACTGGAAAAAAAAATAGCCGCCGAAAAACAGTAGATAAAATAAACAAAGAGCCGTCGGGTATATGTCTGAAGGAGAAAAAGGGAAAAAAATGTTGAAGGAAACAATAAATAAACTGAAATAAAAAGCATTGTTTTACAAAAATGGGAAGAATAAAAATCAGTATATTGGTATATACAATCGGATTTTTTTTCCTTTAATCTAGATGTTTCGGGTACCGTCTCGATGATAAGGAACAACCACTGCAGCAGAGTATTAAAACTATTATCATTTTGTATATGTCGTCTCTTAAAAAGACGGCATGTCAAAATTAAAAAAAAAAACACATGTGCTAACAAGGCGCGATGCAATTAAGAAAGATGGATATATTTTTGGAATAAGTTTATTAAAAAAAAATCCACATACGATCCCAACAAATTATTAATAGTAAATTCAAATCTTCTTTATTTGTTAATCAATTATTAAAATATAATAATTAATTAATAGAAGTATATTTATCTCTTAGAATATTTTTTTTATTAAAAATATCTCATTATGGACAATTTTCAATTGGACTTTATCGACACTAAACTCTAGAAACTTTGAAACAAGTGAAAAAGTATCAAAATTTGTTTTGTTTCATCATTACATTTTAAACTGATTATTCTTTTTTTAATATTTCGTAAATTTTGTATTAGCAAAATTTTATTTTTGTTTATAAATTATGTAATGTCGACAACTGAAGATTTGGATTAAAATTAAGAATTAAAATTTAACACTGACAACAGTTTACTTAGATGTTTTTAGAATGAAGTTTGTTCCATTGGACAATAATAATGTCTTTTCAACTACTTTTCCCGTTGAGATGCACGCATTTAACCAAAAAGTTTCCAACGAATGAACCACAAAAAAAAAAAAAATGTACTCGATACAAGTAATAACTATCTCCTTTTCAAAATTTTCTTTTTTAACTTGCTAACATAATTTCACAAATGATAAAATACATTTTTGATCCCTGTGTTGAGGTTAGATTTCTATTTAATCTCTAAATTTCAAAAAGCGACAGTTTAATCCCTGAACTTTAAAGAAAGCGACAGTTAGTATCACTAACGGAATTTTGATATTGATGTGGCATTGATGAGTTTGAAATTGTGAGATGATTGGACAATATGGATTTTTTCTCATTCTCTCTCTGCTTTCTCCCCCTTCCCTCCTTCTCCCCACATTCCCACTTACTACATTTCTTCTCAAATGGTCCTAATTCCTCTAAACAAGATCTTCCAAAAACTCATTTCCGATCTGTATTCATTAAGTTTCAATTTCACGGAATTTGCCGTCTCTTGACTTTGTTTGAAATTTGTTAGGGTTTCCTTACGGATCTGAAACTCGTTCTGATTCATGGGATTTAGAAGTACTCGTTCCTATTCAATGAACTTTTCTAAAAAATAGTATTAAATGAGAAAAGGTTGAGTTTTTGGAAGATTAGGGATTTTTCCAATGTGCTTAGGCCTTCCCCTTTTTCTGTGTCTGGTTTAGGGATTTTTGAAGTAATTTGACAAGATACACTAATATTGATATAGTTTCGTTCGGAATTAGTTTTGGTAGTGTTGTGCCAATAATCCAGCATGGCAATGGGGAGCAGTTTGAGATGGGATTCGAATTTGGGGATGGAGAATCGGGAGTTTCGTGAGAAAAACAGATGAAACTATGGATGAAATTTCATCTTCGGGTCCAAAATTGAGAATGAAAAGAAATGGAACAACAAAGAAAGGGGAGAGGAGGAGGAAAGGTGGAGAAGGAAGAAAGAGAATGAGAAAAAATCCATTGTCCAATCGTCTCAAAATTTTCAACTCATCAATGCCACGTCAATATTCCGTTCGTTAACTCCGAAGGTCTTGTTCAGAAACAAAACTGTCGCTTTTTGAAACTTGGAGACTAAATAGAAACCTAACCTCAAACTCAAGACAAGTATATATTATCCTTTCAACCTCCATGAATATTTCATATTAAACCAATTTCTCTATTCAAAATTTAACTCCATAATAATGGAGTCAAAATCAATAATTTTATAGTGTTAGCCTATCCAAAATAGATCTAGACTATAACTATAATTAATGAGAAATCACTTTCAAAAAACCAAAAAAGAAAAAGCCACAATTCATGTGACATTTTGGCCCACATGCCCCCAATTAAATGTTTTCAACGTCTCTATTCATCCATTGGATTTGGTATTTTGCCAAGTGACCACCGTCAAATGGAATAATAAATTAAAGATTGATATAATATATTCCTACAATGGGCCGTACCTCCTAATTTCTAACCTCACCCCACCGTCATTTTCAATTCGCACACCAACCAATAAAAACTGCCCTAACAAATGGGTAAGCCTGGATAAGTTTTATTGTACCAAAAAGTTTGAGTCCATTCAATTATAACAAAAAATATATATATTTCTGACTAAATTACAAATTTAACACTGAAATTTAATAATGGTATATAATAGATATCTAAATTTGAGAGTGTTTAATACCTCTTTAAAATTTTAATTTTGTGTTTAATAAATTTATGAAATTTAACATGATGTATTGAAATTTGTGTTTTGTTAGAGGGCAAAAATGGACTTGTCCATAGAAAATAATGAAAACCTAAGATCTTTATACATAAGTTCGGAGGCACATTATGGCTGACCTTGAAATCCAACCGTAAGATAAGCCTATAAACTCGATAAACCCCATTTGGTCGAAGGTATCGCCATGCTTCGACCTTGAGCACTCGACATGCCAACCTGGTGCAACAAACTTCCTCGACGGCACAATCGAATGGTTGGACACTCCTGTTGGATCTCATCCTATGAATAGAGGCATCATTTTGAGTCCAGGTATGTAATCTAAACTTGGCTTTAGGCCTAATATCTAACATTTATTGACTTAAGCGTCAGAGTGTTTGCTTCTTTTGTATAGGTTATCTTCCCATAATAAGCTCAGTCATACTCGATTTTACCATTTTTCGAGTTAGATTAAAAACCATCATAAACATGTCTAATAATTTTCGTGTGAAGTCTAAATTTGTGCATAGCTTTGTTCCTGCTAGACCAATTTACTTTTGAAAAATGATCCAAATAGATTTTCTAAGAAAAAAATTCCTTATATATAAAGCTAAATTTCAAAATCTATAGTATATATAAAAGGGGCTATAGGGAGAAACTTTTTTTTTCCTTATTTTGCCCTTTTAATTTCAACATTCTCATAGATATTTTGAGGGTAATTTTGTCTTTCAACTATAAAATTTTCTCTCTCACTGCCTATTTCTCTCCCTCCCACGCAACTTTCTCTTTTTTTTTCATTTCTTTTAAAATATTTAATCTCCATTGTTACAAATTTTACATTTCTCAAATTAATTTTCTGTTTCTAATAAACTATCCCTCTTAAAGGTTAGAATATAAAGAGTTAGAATATGGAGGGTTTTGTCTCTTTATTTCTATGTTA